TCAGTCAGAAAGTTGCTGAGGTAACCAGCAACCTAGTACAATTGTTCCCACTCCCACCTAGCATCAATCTACCCAGCTGATAGATGCATATTATTAAGCTATTACTATTAAAAAAATATATGCTAGTGTAACATACCATATTCCCTCAACAAGTTGTTGAGAATATACCTATAGCTTTATAATTTCATTCAATATTTCTTGATAATAGAACTGTACGAGAAGCCACCGGTGTAGATGTTAATATGAGAGTTGGTGTACACACTGGTAATGTACTATGTGGCGTATTAGGACTTAGAAAATGGCAATATGATGTATGGTCACATGATGTCACATTAGCCAATCATATGGAATCAGGAGGGTTACCAGGGTAAGTTGATAATGTGTTGGCAAAATAGATCAGAAGAGCGGCTCCTGGGATAAAATATTGTTGTTTTATCAACCCCATGTGCTTTTTAGGTCACATATACATAATAATTTAAATATGTTTTTTAAGGACCAGTTTTTGGACTTAGATATCCAATACCCGACAATCCAAGTAAATGTTATGTGTTTTGGAAGATCATATTAAACGTGTACATTCTGTGCGTCTTGACAGTAGTCCATGATACTGCCCTCTTTTGTCTATGTTGATAAAACTTTTGTTTTTGAGAATTTAAGTTTCTCTTTTTAGCTTTTGCATACTTGTATTTTCAATGATTTTATATTGTTTTTAAAAATGTCCTCCAGTAGATCAGTTGCAAAAGAATACAGTTACTGATTTTTGACAAAATCCATGTGGATAAATTTTGATCTAGTGAGATTCTGACCTTTATTTCATCTTTTGTTGTAGCCGAACCCATATTACAGAAGCTACTTTGTGTCAACTTGGTGGTAAATATGAAGTGGAACCAGGAAACGGCGGCAAACGTGATGAATATCTTGGAGATCTCAATATAGAAACTTATCTTGTGATACCTCCTACTAAGGTAATAAACCGAACTGCAAACCCTATCCGCCATTTGATGATTTGAGTGTGCCTATGTAAACATAATTTCATGAACATCAATGTTCACTAGCTACTACAAAACTTGTTTTACAGTAATATCCTGTTCTGGATCCTCATTCCCTGTCCAGTAAACTCACTAACATGTGTAGCATGATTTGATTTTTGAAGATATATCTGAATTAAGTCAGGTCACCTCATTCTTTTCAATACATACATAATGCACTTTCCTTGCATATATATATATATCTATTATTTTTCTAAAACCTTGTTTGACAGACTGAGATACAGACTGGTGTTTCCATTCATAAAGTATTTTCATTCATGTATAAGCTTGTGGAGAAGGGGCTAGTAAATATGGTGTTTGACTTTGTTTTAATAAACATGTAGAACGGTATATGGTGAAAATGTTTATATAACCAGTAGTTACAATATAGGTTGATGCAAGTACAACTGTGGACAAGGGAATAAAATAAAATAGCATTCAGATAATTCATGCAGTGCAGTTCTACTATATACTTTTGGGAAATAAAATTATATTATTTAATAGTCATAGTATATATGATCAATTTTTTTGATGGTGTATCACAGTATTAACTCAGGGATTGCGTTAACTCCATATTTTGCTTCCCAGACTCCAATTATTGAAGAGGAACCCAGTTTTGCAGGCAAGCAGGATCCAATTTCTAATAAAGTTACCCAGGGTGAAATTTAAATTTTTTTAAATTTTGTAAGTGGGACTCGTCTTGCCGAGACATTAGCGCAAACCCTGTAATAACTAATTTATGTTTTGCATTGATGGTAGACCTTTTAGACTCATTACAAGGCAATCTATTTTTTTTGATTATTAGTGTACTGTTGCGCCATCTCCGTCAACAACCCACAGAAAGGCATCTGGAATAAAAAGACGAAAATCAACAGCCAGGAAAGTCGCCAGATATCTAGAAACTTGGGGTGCAGACAAACCATTTGCTAATCTATCTGAAGTTAATATGACTGGTAAAGGTGTTGGATCGGTAAGTTTGTTTCTTGGCTGCTGTCAACTTGATAATGTCTCAAGTATCTCTGTTCAATGGTGATAAAAAAAATATATACCTGTGAGGTCTACACAAATGTCAAATGCAGGGAATATAAAAATATGAGGTTATTATGAGGATACTAGTACCAAAAAGTATGCACGAAGACAGTACAGCGGGAGTATTGACTGATGTGCAGTGGAGGTCGATGCAACAGTGTACTTTCTGAGTGCATACTATGCAGTATCCTCGTAATAACCTTATTATTATACATCTTTTCCTTCCAAGGATATACCATGGGAATGCCGAAATCCAAAAAGTTTAGAACAGAATCAGCGAACTTCTATGTGTGGAGTCCGGTCAAAGTCTGCAGCAGCCATTTTTGTTTTTATTATTAGAGGACGCTTACGCACATAATCATTCCATATTTGAAATTCGTATTTCCTAATATGGTAGGATGAAAATACCCTGTAAAATACCGCAAATTACAGCACGCTGTAACTTATAGTGTTATGGTGACACATGTCATGTACATGTATAATAATTGACTATATTAAAACCAGAGTTATACATTCTCTGTATTGTGCTTTAGTAGAAAAAATAAATTACAATTTTAAATAAGTTTTGTATTTTTTATTTAGTTAAAAAATTTTTTTTTTTTTCCAGGGCTTATATGCTATGCAAGTTAATATGTTGGCAATGACTAACATTGATCATCAGTCAAAGTAAGTGGAATGATAATGGTAGAATTACACATAACATGAATGACTATCTGTTACATGCAGGTCTCTACTAAATTAAGTTTGAATAAATTAATATACATAGATTTCCAACACACCAAATATTTTATTTTGGCAATAAGTAAATAATATTTGAATGTAGAAAGACATATGACTATTTAATGTTCTACCCTGGCATCAACCAGGCTGGGTCGAACACAAACACCTATGGACCTTACCAGGTTCCCCAAAAGTCAGTTAGTGAATGAATCTCAGCCAGTGGAATTGGCCTTCCCATTGAGTCTGTGGCACACTCACCCAGGGTAGAGGTCGACCCTTTCAGCCTAAAGTAGGATTTGAACTTGGGTCTACCGATCACGAGTCTGATGCTACCAGTGACTGGTATGAGACATTTGACTTCAGAGCTTTTGTTGTTGTACAAACCAACCAATGAATTAAATTATTATATAGTTATTGTCCTCGCTGGAGGCTGATATCAAGAGTTAGCGTTTCCAAGTGGCTGACAGCCACTTTGGAACAATAATTCTTGTTTTTTGCAGAAGCTACAGACAATAACTAAAATCAAATTACCTAGCCCCCAGTGGGGAAACACATTGGGAAGTGTTGCCATCCTTTTACAATCTAAATGCCCCAGATGTTAAGGATTAAGAAGCCAGTAACACAAAAAATGATATTGGAGACAAGAAATACACTGGGAGAGGCCAATATTATATCAAACGTTCATGTGCCTGCTTTTGACTGATAACAATGGCGCATACTTTAGGATATTATAGACCTTTTGAATTAAATAATATAATTGATTTGTAATATATTTTATTAATCATAAGATGGCTTGTAATAACCTCATATACTTACCCCCAAACTCAATAGTCTTCTATTTGATCTTCAGACTGGTTATAGAGCCTGCCCTCTGTAGGTGGCTCCTTACACTCATTCTCAGATAGGTTCTTGAGGGCGCTATGCACCACCTATGAAAACTGATCTCATTACTAATTTGTGACTACCTGTAATTATTAAAAGAGCAATTACAGAAACTAATCTAAAAAAAAAATAAAAGTTTGATTGTTCATTCATTGTTTCATTAATTGTCATCCATTCATTTATTAATTGATTTTCTTATTGTTTTATTTGCTTTTTGTTTATTCATTCATTTATTAATTTCACTTATTTACCGTTTATTTAGTTAGTTATTGATTGATAGATTGATTATGTTAATGTTTCTAATTCCAGTGTTCACTATGATATTCCGTGAGTATCTGCTACTGTCCAGACTTGCATTCTAATTAAGTAATAGCCTTGTAATAAAAATATTATTCATAGTAGGTAAATTAAACAATAGGTGATTATAAAATATGTAATTTGTTGAGTAGTATAAAATAAATGATGGTGGCATTTTGGGAATATGGTATATGTAATTTGTTGAGTAGTATAAAACTATTATAGATGATGGTGGCATTTGGGGAATATGGTATATGTAATTTGTTAAGTAGTATAAAATAGATGGTGGTGGCATTTGGGAAATATGGTATATGTAATTTGTTGAGTAGTATAAAACTATTATAGATGGTGGTGGCATTTGGGGAATATGGTATATGTAATTTGTTTAGTAGTATCAAATAGATGGTGGTGGCATTTGGGAAATATGGTATATGTAATTTGTTAAGTAGTATAAAATAGATGATGGTGGCATTTGGGAAATATGATATATGTAATTTGTTAAGTAGTATAAAATCTATGATGGTGGCATTTGGGGAATATGGTATATGTAATTTGTTGAGTAGTATAAAATAGATGGTGGTGGCATTTGGGAAATATGGTATATGTAATTTGTTGTAGTATAAAATCTATGGTGGTGGCATTTGGGAAATATGGTATATGTAATTTGTTGAGTAATATAAAATAGATGGTGGTGGCATTTGGGGAATATGGTATATGTAATTTGTTGAGTAGTATAAAATAGATGATGGTGGCATTTGGGGAATATGGTATATGTAATTTGTTGAGTAGTATAAAATAGATGGTGGTGGCATTTGGGGAATATGGTATATGTAATTTGTTGAGTAGTATAAAATCTATGATGGTAGCATTTGGGAAATATGGTATATGTAATTTGTTAAGTAGTATAAAATAGATGGTGGTGGCATTTGGAGAATATGGTATATGTAATTTGTTGAGTAGTACAAAATAGATGGTGGTGGCATTTGGGGAATATGGTATATGTAATTTGTTGAGTAGTATAAAATAGATGATGGTGGCATTTGGGGAATATGGTATATGTAATTTGTTAAGTAGTATAAAATCTATGGTGGTAGCATTTGGGGAATATGGTATATGTAATTTGTTGAGTAGTATAAAATCTATGGTGGTAGCATTCAATTCTAGTGTACTTTGTCACTAACTTGACCTGTGCAAATCTCATGCAAATTTTGCTGGATCATCAGCCAATCAGAACTTCTGTTACAAACCACTTCCTAGTAAAGCATACTCCAATTGGTTTACATAGGTATAGTAGATAAGTATATAGGTATAGTAGATCAGATATAGTTTGAGGCAATGTAACCACTGATTGGTACTAAATTGTTTATACAGTTGTAGTCTCTTACATTGTTTACATTGAATTTGACCATATTCTGATTGAATAACCACTTTTTTATCAAATTAGATTTACCTGTAAATCAATTTAAGACATAATGAGCCATTTTTTAGTCAAACAGGACAGTAATAACTTCTTTGGAATATAAAATTGACCTTAATATATATCCTAATGACAATTATCCAAATTATTTTTCAAGGTCCTATTAGGGATTTATCTGAACAATTTTAGCTCTCTCCCTGGATTTTAAACTATAATAAATAAGTATCATGGTCTCAACTGTGCTTCTGATTGTAGGAAGACAGTAAGTAGTAGGAATAATTTTCATACATATGCAGCTTTCTGTACAATGTTATTCCATTTTTGCTGAAAACGCTATGTAGTTTTCATTATTTCTGACAACATAAACAATTGATCTATAGAATAAAATGTCTATACTTAGTTTTCCTTTCACCCAAAATATCATGACTAAAACAAAGATGACTAGCAAATGCAGTTTGTCTCAAGTGATGTTAGAAACTACTTTGAAAATGACAAAATGACAAAAATTATCGCAATTATTCATGATATTGAATTATTTTTTAGGGTAGCATACAGGAATAAAGTAATGGAGCGAAAGGTTAGTGAGCGTCTTTTAGAAGCAATTGATGGCAAAGCAGCAGAAAAGTAAGTAAATTGGTGATTAAATTTCACTGAAAGTATGTTGTTTAGTTTTACAAGTGGCTTAAAGATGTTAACAGCTGTCAACTGAGTGATCAACTGTTCCATGCAGTTTCGAAGTAAACTCAGATTAAACCAGTTCTCTGAGAAAATATTTAATTATAGAGATGATGTTTTCAGACTGTGATGTCATGTATTTAATGGTGCATTTTGTGTGCATGAATTTGGATCATGAATCAAAAATCTTAGCCAATGAAATTTGAACCAAAAATGAAATGAGCAGCCACAATGATTGCCAACATTCAGAAGTGATAACAATTGCTAAAAATTGATTACTCTTGTTTCCGAGAGTTGATGCATATATTGATGTGAAGTCACAAAGCTCCAATAAATCATCTTTTACCTTGTATGGTTTTTCATGCATCATAGGGAATGTTATTTTTTTCGCAGGCAGTGGTTGAAGTCAGAAGACATAATGAGAGGAACATTGTTATTTTTAGATGAAGAAAGAGAAAAACAGGTATGTAAATTTTGTAAACTGCAATATGTTTTGAAATGTAGGATGTTTTGTAGGATGGGCATTTTTTTTACATACTGCTCATCAAGTCTGAACATCTTCCAAAAGATTTTGGAAAATCGTACATTACACAGTGTGATTGATTCAGGCACTATATACATGCAAATTTTTTATTTATATTATTTATTTTATTCCATTACAGACGTCTCTAGTTTTACACGATTTCAATGGCCACCATTTTCTGCTTTAAAATGCTATGGGGTTAATATAGCAATAAAGTCAAGTTCAGTGATCCGTTACTGTTTGACTCTTTTTCAAATTTACATGACATAAAGAATAAAATAAAAGATAAGTTATGGTCTCCTGATTTTATGACATTATTTTTGTGAATCATATACTTGACTAACATCTGTTACAAGTTCAAGTACCAATTTTGCCATTGTTTTTTTTCATCAATGGCTACACTGGGGTAGTTTCAAAATTCCCATACTTTCTGTGCATGCTCTGAAAAATCTGTTTAACACCAAGCAGGTTGTCACCAATGTAAAATCTCATTTAACTGAGATACAGTGCTCTCAACTACATTTGTTCAAATAACTATCAAAATCATGTTCAGGTAGCTCGTCTTTGAACAAATTTGTTAATGAATTTATGCTTACGTTACTATATAAAGATGCCAGTAATACTATTTCTGATTGGTTCTGATTCAACGATTACTGAACACAATTTGGATAGTAATTTATCTGGTAGCTGTACATGTAATTAGACAAGTTTAAAAATTCTGGTGGCTAATGATGTTACATGCACGAAATATTTGCATACACCTGACTCTCGTACCCGGTACTAAGGCAATTACCGAGAGACTTTGCAACATCTCGAGATACTTTCCTAGACACTCCAGTGAATGTTATAGACGCAATAAAGTTACATATCCACTTACTTGAGAGTCAGTCTACAATGACCATTGAAGTGTCTGGGGATATCGGGTACGGGAGTCAAGTGTATGCAAATATCTTGCACCCACTGTAAATGTGTATTATTCACCATTAACAGATCTAGATGTACTTTGTTTTATTCGTTGTTTTCAGTATGGTAAATTGAAGGACCCATTTTTCAAGTCGTATCTTGGCTGTGCATTCATCCTCTTTCTATGTATGGCAATTGTGCAGTTTATTGTCATGCCGAAGACAATGATGTTGTTCATAAGCTATGCGGTGTCTTGTATTCTGTTGTTATCTATTCTCTTCATTGCCATTGCAAAGCACATATTTGTAAGTATCTGTATGATTCAGTGCTTTTTATATGTCTTTATAATCATAACAGAATCACTCACTCAGAATGCATGTCAATATTGTTTGATCTCACTAAATATTGCTGAATGGCCATGTCTGCAACCGGTTCTCATAGATGAGTTTGACAATTTTAATCAAATTTTGCATGATCAAGTTTAGTACATATTGGGTAGGCAGTTTTTTTTTTTTTTAAATCTAATTGAAGATGGCGAACTAATGGCCATTTTATTTTTTACTATGTTTCTCTGGCATGCAGCGACTACTTATGTTCAAATTTGGTACACAGATACTATATCACAAGATACACATGCAGCTAATTAGTCCTCGTTCGGACGCAGTTCGAAAACGAGGACTTATGATTTGACCTCCGTGTGTCTGTGCGTCCATGCGTGCTTCCGTGTGTGCGTCCCGACCTGTATCTTAGAAATGCCTGGACTAATCACAATCAAACTTCACACATACATCATACATGATATTATACATATGCACATCAATTTGTTTCACGATCTGATTCAAGATGGCCGAATGGCAGTCATTTTTGTGCTAAAAATCATCAAAATCAAGCATTTTCGGCTGTTTACAGATGGATTTTGTTCAAAATTGGTATATACGTTAGACATTATAGGATCTTGATGCGCATCATTTTGTTTTTCAGATAAGATTCAAAATGGCCGACTGGCGGCCATTTTGTTTTAATGAATGTGGTTCTTGTGCCATATGTCTGACTTGCTTTCACTGATTATGTTCAAATTTTAAATATTCATTATACATCATGTCATAGATAGACAGATATATTGGTTTGATGATCCTATTCAAAATGGCCGAATGGTGGCCATTTTTGTGCTAAAAAATCATCAAATATCAAGCGTTTCTGGCATTTATGGATGGATTTCGTTCAAATTTGGTACATATATTAGACATTACAGGTTTCTGATGCTAATCATTTATTTTTCAGATCGGATTCAAAATGGCTGTCTGGCGGCCATTTTGTTTTAATGAATGGGCTTCTAGACCCATATCTCTGACTTGTTTTGACTGATTATTTTCAAATTTTTAATATTCATTATACATCATGTCATGGATATACGGATATATTGGTTTGACGTTCCTTTTCAAAGTGGCCAAATTGTGGCTATTTTTGTGCTAAAAAAATCATTTCTTGCATTTATGGATGGATTTTGTTCAAACTTATAACATACATTAGATCATTACAGGTTCCTGATGCACGTCATTTTATTTTTCAGATTGGATTCAAAACGGCTGACTGGCGGCCATTTTGTTTTAATGATTGGGCTTCTAGAGCCATATCTCTTAAATGCTTTGACTGATTATATTCAAATTTTATATATTCGTTATACATCATATAATGAATATCATATATATATATATACATATATTCAAAATGGCTGATTTTGAATGCTGTTTCAGAGCAATATCTCTCAATATGGACAAGTACTTGTTTGACGATCAGATACAAATGTCAATCATTTTAATGTTAAAAAATCATATTTCTGACATGGTTATATTCCAGCTATATTACTATAAACAAAACTATATACCGGTATCCTAAATTCGATAACTAACGGGGACTGTGCCATGCATGGCTTGTTTTGTTTTCTTATCTGATCGAATTTGGCTACTTGGCATCATTCTTGGATTAAAATCGTTAAATCCTATAACATAAACTCATCTGCCACTAGTTCTCTGAGATGATTGCATGAGCTGATCTAAATCAACTTGGTACAATGACAATACATAATGAGAGGCAGATTCTTATTTTTTGGAAATTTATTGATTCAAGATGGCAATTTGTTTTTGTTTACTCCTTCCCTTCTGTTTCTCTATATCTCTTTATAAAGTGTTACTGTAAACAAACACCATCATGGATAACAGATTCAGTTAATGCAGTACTAAGAAATCGATGGCTAAGAAGATTGTTGGCATCTATCACTGTGATCATTATCTATGTCATGGCCGTCATTAATATTGTAAGTACTCACTAATTAAAGGTAATCCCAATATGTACTATGTACTATGGGTAACGGAAAAAACTGATCAGATATTTAATTGAAGTCACATTTCCTAAACCTGAAACTGCCACAATTGATATATATAAATAGATTAAAATTTTATAATAAGATTATAGTTTCTATACATAATATATGTATTATTAAAAGAGACTTGTACCAACATGCCCCAAGGATGTATTGTTATGACAGATATGACGACAATCTACACTACAATTATGATTCTGGATATTATAAAGACACTAAACCAAGAAGAGATTATATGTATAATCACCAGTATGATGAGTACATGCCAAATTATTAATCTTTTTTCATCTTTACATTTACTTAATTATGGACATGCCAAATTTTTTTTTTTCTTATATACAACATGTAACTATTTAGATATAATATTTCGACCTACAACCTACCTGTTTGCTGTACACAGTTAGGTAATTAAAAAATGAAACAAATTAATAGAACATACCTAAAGCTAGGCAGCTGGAATGTACATGGCTTAGATGACAAATGTACTGAGATTGATTTTAGTACAGTAGTACAAAATTATGATATTTTTTGTATACAAGAAACATGGCTTGGTAGCAGTAGTAATAGTTTAGTATTGGATGTAGAAAATTATAGCCATTTCAGGTCAGATAGGATAAGAAAATCTAATAGGAGCAGAAGAAATTCGGGATGTGTTGCACTGTTGTTTAAATCAACATTAAGAAATGGGTTACATAAAATTTCTTCTGACATAAGTGATTTTATGTGGTGCAAATTGGATAAAAGTTATTTTTCTCTGGACAAAGATATCTATCTGGGTTGCATTTATATACCGCCAGAGAATTCTGTATACTACCCCAGACCATTCGTCCCGGTGTTATCGCTATCGCCACACGAGACTCCAGCTTGTCTCCTATACAATTTGACTGCGCACATCCAGAAAGTAGATGTAGCTGCGATTGGTGGAATACTAATGAGTTGAGTGTCAATCAAACGCCCACGCTATCTTTAGTAAACAAAGTCACGTGACACGCGCCATTTTAGTTTTGGCAGGCGATTTCAAGGCAGCACGCTTAACCCTTTCGTTCACAGGTTGGGAGATATTAGAATGACTGACAATTTCACGCCACTGTTTTACATTATTGGCGGATTTTTCTGCGCTATCAATCTTTCTCTTACAAACTAGACATAGATGAGACGACAGAGTCGCTCCTTTCACAACGTCGCACTGGATCAAATTGGAAAGACGATTTCCATAAGTTATCCCTCCTGCTTTTCCTGGCTTGAATAAATTCACACACGACTTTAACTGTCCACAAACTCGAAGACTACACGAACACAGTCTACAATAGTGTCCGCAACAATATGTATGTATTTCTTCGGTGTACTGATGCACGAATGCACCGTGACACGGTGTTTCTCGGGTGTCGCCATCGCTGAGAATGCCGCCAGCGCAATTTTTCACCCAACTCGCGATTCTGTTTTGCAACATTTTATCAATATTCCCTTTGACAAAATCGCCGACAAAAGCACCGCTTTGCTGATCTTTTGTTCTATAATTCTTAATGCAAACACCGACCCTAGTAGTAATTAGTAACGTCGCCTAGTACATATGAACGGTCGTCATTGCAAATCGAACATCCTTTTGAAATTTGGACGTCGGGCAGGCGATTTCAAGGCACCGCACTTAAATATTAGCAACATATTTTTCTGAGCGGTTGTTTATTCTCTTTCAAACGAGACATAAATGTGACGACATAGTCGATCCCTTATCCACCGCTAAGAATGCCGCAATGTTTCGTTCGTTTTGCAACATGCCACAAATCGTCGAAAAAAACACCACTTCGACGGAAGCTTGCGTAATAAGGGGGTTAAAACAAGAAAACAAATGCCATGTTTAATACATATCGACCTGTTTTACTTGCGAAAGATATCGTTTCGTGCGACTTCGGAACGCGAAGGAACACACCAACAACGTTGAATTTACCGGCTATCTTCCAAATATGGTATATTAATTTATTCAGTTGTTTATTTAGAGTGACGTCCGCGGTCGAATGCGATTGGCTATCGATGTCAGTGCAAAGGTTATATGAATATTAAAATTAAGTGGGCGGAAGGAAAATTGTATAGGAGACAAGCTGGAGTCTCGTGTGGCGATAGCGATAACACCGGGACGAATGGTCTGGGGTATTAGAGTAACTGTTCAGCAGGAATGGCTTTTTAACTCTTCTGTGATTTTTTTTTTTGGCTTGGCTGATTTTGTCACGGTTCATACTTGACAGGCAGGTCGTACCATCACTAATTGGAAAAACAATCCTGACCCACCGCTACCATGGCAACAGCCAAAGTCTTGTAATAGCAGTGCCCAAATGATCATGCCTTTTATTTTGGCTACGTTGCGCACTGGTAAGAGATCACCGGCGCCGACATTGTTACCACTGTCAACGGAATCCCAACGCAGCTTTGAACTTTGAATAAAATGTAAATGCTGCTTCCAATCTAGAAAATACTATCGCAAAACGATTGGAAATTATACATTTAACGGCTGAATACGTCCTAACAATAAAATAAAGTGACTTCTAATGACTG